ATTTTAAACAAATTTATTAATTATTAAAGCTTAAGTATACTCTGGACACTTTTGGACACTTGGACATTTGGACGTTAAACAGTACCAAAAAAGCCTTTGGACAGTCAAAATGTATATCTCTGTGGTAGGTATAATATTACACAAATAAAAAATTCAAAACAAACATTTATTTTGTCAAAAATTATCTATAACTTAAAATTGAGCATATAAAACTACTCTTTGAATTCTAACAAAAAAAATTTCTTACAAAATTTTACTATAAAACCTTTTCTTCACCTGTATACACAATCTTTACTCTACACTAATCCTAATTAATGAAAAAATATATTATTTGAATTGTTTTGGTTTTATGTTATATCTGATTTTAAAGTGCAATATATCGCATCTGCGATGTATAAATTATCTCTTAAAGTAATAATTGTTGCAGATCATAATTTAAAATAAAATCTACATTTTTTATTCAACCTTCTAACTTTCTAAAACTCACTTATACTTGTTTAATATATTTTACTCTAATCCTAACCCCTAATTCTAACTCCTAACCCTAAAAAAGAGGAAATATAATGATACAGCATGCACATGACTTATCTTCTTTATTGGCATAGCAGTGATTGATATGAGCACCCATTTTTTGATTTGTATCGATAGCCAATCAAATGCAATTTATAGTAATATGACTTCTACGATTGTTCTTCAGAAATTAAAATTATCAGAGAATAAAATCAACAAATAAAGTAAATACGCTGATGCGTAAGATCGATAAATAAATAACATAATTGGAAGTCTTCTTAATTTTAATTATGCAATAAATATTTTAAAAGCTTAAATAAAAAAATCATAAGCTTAAAGTGAAAATTTATATTACTTTGTTCTAAGACATTTGTACTTATATATAGTAAGCACCCAACATTTGTTTTTCATATAAACGATCCTAAAAATTCACATAAGTTCAGGTATAATAAGGATTCTGAAAATTTAAGCCAATTCGGATCTGATGAAGATGACCAACTCAGTTTTAATATGAAAGATGAAATTGAATCCAATAAAGAAGACAATGAAGATAAGACTGAATCCAATAAAGAAAATAAAGAAAAATTTGAAACCAAATATAAAAACTATAACATACTGTATATAGTAATAAGTTATATGTATTAATCATTTATTAACACATTTTCATTTAGCTTGTAAAATGCTTAAACAAATTTTTACTACCAAAAAGGATATTTTAAATGTTGCTCAGGAAATAGCTCAGTTTTCTGGATTCACTGTAACTATTAAAAGTAGTGGTCATCATCACTTCTATCTTCAGTATAAACGTGATAGAAATCTTACAGTAAATATACGTCAAAAAAAAAAGATGAGCAAGTATTGTGGGTGCCTATATTTAATAAAGGCTGTTCTAAAAGGTTCTGAATAGTAAGTTATTGAAGTGATAAATAGGCATAATTATCCTAAGGCCAAAGATGCAAGAGTTTTTCCTGAACACCGTCGATTGACACGAGTAGCAAAATGTACAGCTGTGCAAATGCTAAAAGCTGGAGCAAAACCAAGTACAATTTATGAAGCTATTAGAGATGATAATGGGGAGCCAATTGCGACAAGAAGAGATATACTAAATTTGGGTTCACAGATTTACATTTCAGAGGAAAATTCCTCAATAGAAGTGTTAATAATGAATATAGAAAAACAGTGATATATTGTTCATTGTAAAGATTAAGGTAAAATATTTCTATATTTGTATTTTTATTTTATTAAAGTTAAAAAATTTTAATATAATATTAAATTATTATAAATGGATGTGTCAAGCACCTTTTTTTCTGTCATGAAAATTCTGTTAGAATTGCTAAACGTTTTTTGGAAATTATCCTAGTTGATGCAATCTATAAAACGAATGTTTACAAACTTCCATTTGTAAATTTCATCAGTATCAGTAATCTTGGGGTTAATCAATTACAAACTTTTGGAATTGCCAATGCTTGAATCTCTGATGAATCCGATAAGTCATATACTTGGATGATTGAATAGCTGGCCTCTATTATTTTTTTTGATATTTTTTCTCCTGTGTTCATTACGGATAATGATGCTGCTCTTATTGGTGCCTTTAAAAAAATTTTTTCTCAGTCTAAAAATCTTTTATGCATCTGGCATGTCTTAAATAACTTCAAAAAAAATTTAAAAAGCACTTTACTGATGATTCTTTTGATGAAATTATAAAAATTATAGATCGCATCATTCATTTAAGGGACTATGAAGCACTAAATATAGCAATTGCTTCATATAAAAAACTGGCTACATCAAGTTTCAATTCAAATAAAGTAATAAAGTATCTTGATAGGAAAGTATTAAATTAATTTTTAAATTTTATTTGATTTTTACTATACTGTGTTGTAAAATCTCTTTTAATTTAGGTGACTCTATTATTAATTAATTGATTTTAGTGTCATCTATAATATATTTATATATATTAATTTAATTATATTATATCTTAAAGGATGATGAAAGTCAAAGAAAAATGGGTTTGACTTTATATTAGCAGAATAATGCACTTCAGTGCTACAACAACACAGCGTGTTGAAGGTGCATACTCAGCTATGAAACATACTATCGAGATATCAGAAAGTTTAACAAAGTCCTTTAATTCGTTAGACAGATGGTTATATTTGCATTATGAGGAACTTTTGTTACAATTAGAGAATGAAAGTACAAATATTAATCCTTTATTAACGGGAGATGATAAGAGTCGATTAAAACTACTTTTAGAAAAGATGGCACAATTTGCCTTGAATAAGATCAAGAATGAGCTTCTCAGTATAACCACATATAAGGCTTGTTTGTGTAAATTATGCATCAATTATGACATACCTTGTCGGCACATGCTTTTACAAAAAGGTCCCGTTACGTTATCAATTGTTCCAGAAATATGGTTACTATTTTCTAGCAAAGATCGAATTGATTCAAATTGCATAATTGAAGACTTATCTTTGACGAATTTTGATAATTTTTTACTTAAATCTCGATTATATAATATTGAATCACGATATATAAACTTTCTAGATGAATAACAAAAATCAGATCTTTTAAAAAAACTTAATGATATTTTATCAGTTTCTGAAACCAAGCTTTCTGAAATAAAAATTACAGAAAAAATTACAGAAAAAGGACATCCTTCTAGAACAAAGTGGTTACCAATTGCAGTAGAATGAATGGAAGCAAAAAAAAAAAAATTGGTGATAATAAAAAAAAAAACAAATCAATAATATTGACGTTTTGAAAAACAATTCAGCATCTTGCAATAAAGGTAATACATATGATTTTATAATAACATATTTGTATACAAATTATTAATGTATTATTATTATTGGGGTTTGGGCCCTATAGCTTAGTGATTAAGCTGTCAAACCCCCACAGACTAGATCGACAGTTCAAGTTAGGCTGGAGGCAAAAATTTTAGGATTTTTCACTTCTGTAACCCAAAAAGGAAGCTATATTGAATGCGGAGTCCTGTGGCTAAGTCCAAGTGCAAGTACGAAACTGAAAAAGGAAATTCCCAGAAGGAGGTCTAATTGTGAAGCGATAGCACTACGTATAGTACTGGTGACGATGTCATGTATCATAGAAGGTTCTGTTATACAAAATTGCATAGATAAGTCCTCGATTAGGGGTAACCGGGGCAGCACCAACATCCCCAGCAGTTGGGGTACTTGATTGGGAACGTGTTTAACGATAACAAAACTGGAGTAGTGAGAAAAGTGGTGAACACAAGGACGACTTGTGGTAAAGGATTGGTCTATTCAGAATTAGAAGCACCTCTGACATTCCGTACAATACCAGATCAAGAAAATAAATTATCTAAATAGAGAGAGATCGGCAGGCAACTTGGGGTACGCTTAAAACGCGACAAAGAACGGTAAGGTTGTACCCAACTGGAAGTAGTAATATGAAATGTAATACTAAGAATACCAACATTAGTAAGCACCAAGGGGGGTTGAGATACCCTTAATTTGAAAGTGATTCTGTCACAAAAAACTCGGTTAGAAGTTTCGACACCAATCCTGTGATACACCAATTCGGGGAGTATCTGTTATCAAGACCTGCATGCATATGACCAACATTGTATAAAACTACAACACCAATATTGGAAGTAACCGTGAGGCTACGATTGCTGGGTGCCCCTTAATGGGATCTGTAACGGATATCACACTGAGTACCAAGCTGGAAGTATCCTGTTATTAATATGAGAAATGTGGTGAATCTATGGGTAAGAAATTGATTAACTGGGGTAGTACACAAAATCCAGGTCGGATATTAAGGCTCTGGTAGGTTTAGGTCATGGATAAAGTAGTCCGAGTCTCGTATTCTGTAATTAGTCAATTAGCAAATACATGAGTGAGCAACAAGGTTGTATAGTAGTGTATAAACTTATAATTTAATAAAAGATACAAGAGGCATAACCTTACCTAAAAAAAAAAAAAAAAAAAAATTTGCACTTTTGCTAGCCACATTGTTTACAAAATAAAATCTATATTTTTTAAAAATTTAATTTACAATTTACTATATTCTTAATATACTATGCCTATAATTTTAGGAGGTTTTTAAAATTTTCAAATTTTATCTTAGATTATACATATATAATCTTAATCTAATTATTTTGTGTTTTTAAAATAACTTTTGGTTTAAATACTAAATATATAAAAAATTTATCTAAATCAAGATTTAGTTTTTATATAAACTATTTAAACATCTGCTTATTAATATTTTATATCTTGTAGTTTTATTAACAGCATATTTATTTGTATAAAACTAAAAATACAGTTATTAACAAAAGTAATTTTGCATTCTTAAGTTTAAAAAAAATATGCATAGAAATATGAAATTTATACAGGAATAGTATATCACATATACAGATCATATTAACCTTTTGCAACAGGGTAGATAGTAAAAATACCTATGCTACCTATACACACAATTTTCAGTTGAAAAAATATCTTTTCTTTTTTATCAATAATATGAAATCATGTTTTTAGCTATTTATCTGAAGTGTCTAAGCTCTCAATACATGATACAGCGAAGCAGATTTGCTGTAATGAAAAAGTAGTAAGATATTAGATAAAAAGATAATAAGAAGACAAAAACCTAAATGATAAACAAAAACAAATAATACTCATACAACTCTTCTTGATAATCACTTATATTAAACTTACGGCTAATGAAAACAGAAACTTGTTGGAGAAAAGTAGAAGAGACAACTATAAATAATAGTTTTTACAGAGGTTAAGGATTTCCATGTTTCCCTCAGACTTCTCTGTATATTCAATATGCAAATTAAAAGCATTCCTATACAAGATAATTGACAAGAAGGTGGTGTCTTTGTACAGAAAATTTTAATAGAAGCTCTGCTTTTGCTGACAAAGTTAAAGATAGTTGGTCTAAGGAGAACAACAAGTAAGTTTTCAACATGTTCTTTACCAAAGTTTAAGGCTACCTGCAAACCAAAACCCTCATCCATATCCCCACTCTTGGTCTTTATGAAATTTCTCCAAAAAGTAGAAAAAATAGCATACCCTTATCAAAAGATCAACAAAAACAATTGCTGCCAAAAAAAAGAAAAATATGTATATATATACATATCTACTTTTGATTATAGTGTAAGATAATATGATAATGTTTGAAACATTGCAGAAGACGTGTCAACGGAATGGAATAGCATCTAGAAGTTTCGACCCTTGGAGCTCTACTTCAAGACCAGATGGTTTTTGATATTTTTACATCCTGGATATAGATATAAATAATTAACATAAAGTTTAGTCTTGGTTATTTATAGTACTATATAATTTTTACAATCTTACACAGGTTTAATAGTGCTATCTTTGTTTTCTTTTCTTTTGTTTTTCTTTTTTTGTTATTTGTTTTATTTGGTTTTATTGGTTTAGGTGGATCAGAACTTGATGCTGTAGTATTTTCACATTTTTGTTATGCCCTTTGTATTTGTATTTGTATTTCGTTTTGTAAAAAGAAAAAGTTAATTTGGATATGGTGTGCAGCATCAGCCCATGACCAAAGGATAATCTCTAGTAAATTAGAGACCCAGAAAGAGGCTTAAAGTCTACTAAGGCAAGCTATACCTAACGAAAGCGTGGATATATCACTTTACAGGTGGATTAAGTATAGCTATTATTAAGAAATATAAATTTCTTAGTATAGTTTAATTTCAATAAAAAGTGACAGGACAGCCAAATTATAAAAAAAAATAAATGGCAAACAAAAGTCAGATTGTAAAAAAGTTATTATCTAAAAGTAAGACAAATAAATTTTAGGACTGGCAAAGAAAAACAAAGATATTACAGCTTCAGAAATTTAGCAGGAGATGCTAAAGAAGAATGTAAACATTAATATACATACTATTCAATGACACCTTGGTGAAGATGAAGCACATTATTATAGAAAACTCTCAAAACCTTTGATTAAAAAGAAGCAACAAAAAAAATACTATTTGTGGGCAAAAAAACATAAAAATTATGACTAGAATTTTGTGATATTTACAAACAAAGTACTTTTTATTTAAATCTACAGTTAAAAAAAGCTTGGTAGTTCACTAAAAAAAGAAAATAATCTGTTTTGTTAAGCATCTATTGAAGGTTCTTATTTTTCTTCTTCGGGCTTTGATAGGTTGGTTTTGTTCACCCATAACCTTAATGTATAATATATAGTTACTCTATATGAAACTAACTTTCTGCCTTCTATTAAGAACCTTTTTGATAAATGTTGCAATAATTAATTTTTCAAGAGGATAATGATCTGAAGCACTATTCAAAAATCGCAAAGGCATGAAAGAAAAAAAATAATGTTAAAGTTCTTCCCTGGCTGTCAATATCACCTGACCAAAATCTAATTAAAAATGTCTGAAGGTCATGAAAATAAACATAACAAAAAAAAAATTAGAACACTTAAGGGGAGGGACAGAAATCAGGTGATTTCAAGTTACTAAGAGCGGACGGTCTACGGGCACGTACCAAATCACGTGATTGGGCACGTACGGTAATATCACGTGATCGAAATATTGATCAT